TCAGCGTACAGGGACGTCTAGATCTGAGTAAGAGTATGAGAGAGAAAAAGAGAATACCCATTGTTTTAATGTAATTATTTTGAAGAGGTTGTATGTTGGAGTTTAATGCAAAAGAGGTGGGCGCGGTAACCGGCAGGTAAGTACTGCGTACTGCCATTTGGAAGACCAAAGTTCAAAAAATTAATTAAAAAAAAAATTAAGTCAACCCCTCCGAGTGTATTTCTGACATGAAATAAAATTCCTCATAAAAAACTTTCAGCCGTTCGGATGCGGCTTAGTATAAAATGTAGGCCCCTCCATTTGTTGGGAAAAACATCCAGATGCAAATAAACAAATTGGAGTAGGAGCTTGGCCGAAAATCGTTTCAGCTGTTGCAAAGTGCGAATAATATATATACTGGAGCAAAGTCACCTGGGAGAAACCACTATTCACTGCGCCAGCTTGAGAAACATCAAAACGGGGGGTGTCGATCAATTGTCGACCGAGCTGAACATAACAGGCCGAGCTATTTAGCTATGGCGGGGAATAAGCGATAAGATCAGACGAAAACATGCCTGATGTTTGTAAGTGTGTTCTGCCCAATCCTCAAAATGGGGTATACCACAGTCTGCGCCCATTATCTGTGAGATAATCATCCTATCCAACTATTTCTGCCAACAGTTGGAATTGAAGAGTAAAGTCCTCTCTCGACGAACATAGATCAAACTCTACAAGTCGCCCATTATTCCTGTATTGTTATATGGTGCGGAGGCATGGACAATGACATCATCCAGTAATTCGTTCTCTGCGAGTTGGGAGTGGCGAATACTACAGCCGAAGGAACGATGAAATAGTTCAGCCAATCAAGAAATAGCGGCTGCGCTGGTTAAGTCATGTAGTCCAGATCGAAAAGAATACTCCAGCTTTGAAAACTTTCTGTTTCAAAAACAGTATCCGCCGGTGAAAGTAGAGGAAAACGAACGCTTCCACTCCACTGGAAAGACTAGGTAAGAAGGACCTGGCTGTACTTGGTTTTTCCAATTGTATTATTAATACTTAAAATCGTATAACATTGTACAACATTAAACAACAATGGGGTCCTAAATCCTTCGGATTCGGTCAGTGGATTCTTAAATAAAAACCACCAAATTTTTCGTTCAACTTCTTTATTGTGAACACACACTAAAATCCCAAAATGCCACAATAAAGCTATCTATTGAACTGAGTATGCGGCGGTGTGTGCCTTCACTTTTATATACCCGCCGATTTCAAGCACATTTCTCTGCCTACCTCTTTCGGAAATAATCTTGAGAAGCAAATTCGCCAATTTTCACCGGCCTCTCTTGAGGACAACTACTCACCATTAAGATGGTAATCAGGTGGGACCTACCATCCGAGCTCCTTGAACTTCTGGCGCGTGGCCTGGCGTTGTATAATTATTTCAGCCCCCTCTGAAGAATGGATTCTGGATGCGAATAAAAAAATATTCTTCCAACTATATTTACCTGAACTGTATAACTGCGAAATTTTATTGTTTCCAAAACTGGTTAAATATGTTAAAAATACTAAAAAATAGAATAGAAATAAAAAAAGAATCATTGAAAAAAGTCAAAAATGTACACACAAAAATGCAAATCGGATTGTCATCTTCTAAAGTAATGAAAGTAGAGTGGAAATGCTCTCTCTTGTAAGCTCGTCTGTCATTTGTTTTGCAGCTGCTAACTCAAGATGGAGAGTACAAATTGCTACAATGTGGCTGATATGAGATAAAAGAAGTGATATATCTACAATTCAGTGTCTATGCACAGAATATATTCCACTGGGCATTCAGAAGTGGCTAGACATGCCTTCAAACGACTTTTGTAAGAATTTTAGAGATAGGAAAGAACCTTAAACCTTAAAGTACTTCCTCTGTTGTTGTTGTTGTTGTTGTTGTTTTTGTAATCGCAAAAATATTCCTCAAAGTAATTTTTGGGGAACGTTGCGGGAGTAACAGTCCTTGGCCTGATAAAAATCCTGTTCGTTCCCGTATAAAGACCGGACTGTCGGGGGAACTATTGGATTTTAGTCGCCTCTTACGACAAGCATGCCTTACCGCGGGTAAATTCTTGAACCTCTAACCCGCAGGGGGCAAAGTACTTCCTCTGCGCATGACTGCTTGACCGACGAAGGTTGCTGCCCCTACCATCAGAGACTTGAGTGAAATAGCGGTTGCACAGTTTCGTCAACTCCACACTGGTTTCTTATTTAGTTCTGGCAGATTCCGAAGATTGGAATTGCCCACGAACAAACAGCAATACAGAAAAAACTGACCTGTAGGACATGCAAAAACTGCAGTGCGAGGGTAAAAGTTGTGAAAAGAATGATTTAATTTATCATTTACGATGATATGTATGAGTATTTCATGGTAACGAAAAAATATATATTTTATTAAAATATTTAATAAAAATGGGCTACAGTTCCTTCCCAAAGCCGGCAGACTGCCAACAGGGTGACATGTTAAACGCATCCAAAACTTATTGAAGTTGGTATACCAAAACATAAACACACACACACACACGCACACAAGCTTCATAGCAAAGTAGGTTTAAGTGTATAGATATATATGTACGTAAATATATACGCATGCATGTGTTGTACGACTTAAGTTGCGAAGTAAACTTGGCGGCACGAAAATAATAGGGGCATGAAACCAGAATAAAACTAAAATTCTCCTAACTCAGCAGCAGCTTGCACATATCCGCATAAGTTGTGGGCAACTTAAATACACACACACACACACACGCGTACAGACAAATGCACCTTATTCTATATACAAACATAAATGCACAGTAGTTATGTTTATATTTATAAATTTACATATGCGCCAGTGTGATGAGGTTATGCATGAAACATCTCGAAAATTATAATATGCAAAATTGCTTTTACTTGCACATTTCCATTGCTTACATATTATATGTATGTGCATATGTGCATGTGTATGTGTTTGTGTCACCAGGCTATGCCGGCGTCTTTGATGAAATGCATTTAGTGCGCTCCAGTGCCTGCTGATTACGCTGCTCCTGCAGCGGATTTCTTCCACATTCACTCAGACCAATTTAGAAATTACACTACTCGGGTTATATATACACATACATAAGTGTACATATATACAGACATACACGTACAAGTGAAATATATTTGACGTTCTGCTGCAAGTACGTTACACTTTAGGACCTTCTTGTTCGCACCAACAGTTGGGGAGTTTCTGTCATTACTCACGCTTCTGCTTGTCCTCACCCCTCCCTCACACTCTCACACTCTTACACTTTATTTTATTGTATTATGTAATAGTAGTTTTTGGTTATTTTAAGCTTTTAATTTAATCTTACAGTGACGTGAGATAGAATTTTTAATTAATTTAACAAAATCTGTTGGTATTGTATGGAGCAAGGTTGCTTAGGGGTCAAATTTGTCAACGCAAGGTATACAAAAGGTAACAATCACACACAAAAAAAGAAAAATAATAATAAATTTGTATAAATTTTAAATGGCTAGCTACATGTTATATAGATGCAGGTGGACATATATAATAATGCATATGTGTATGTGAGATGTAAATCTTCATTTAGTCGTGCTGCAGCTGAAAGAATCAAAAATATTTATATCGGCAGGGGCGGTTGCAGTATAAGAATAACAAACAATTACAATTAAAATAATAGTATTTATGTAATAAATTAAATTATATGAATAAACGTGAAAATAGTTCTTCTATGAAATTTCTATATTTATATATTTACTAAAGGTTGCCCCATAGTCGTCCGCATGAAATACTAAGATAGTGCCAATGAGACTTTTTTTTATTTTTTAACGCTGTTTCCTTCATTATGACTAGTAAACTTATTCTTCCTATTTACTGGCGTAGACATTGCGCCCTCTCTTTTTCTCTTTCCGTTGTTTGGCGCCAATTGGAGATGCCAAGTATAGCCACAGTCCTTCCCTACCTGGTCTTTCCAACATAGTGGAGGTCTTCATTTTCATCTGCTACCACCGACCGGTAATGCATCGAAAACTTCAAAATCTAGAGTATCTAGTTGGTCCCCATAATCTAGCCAGCACAGCCGCTGTCTCTAGATACGCTGAACCAGGTCAATGTCACCGTATAACTCGTACAGCTCATGTTGTTGTTGTAACCGCAAAAATATTTTTTTGGGAATGTTGCGGGAGTGCCAGTCCTTGGTCGGATAAAAATCCAGGTCGTTCCGGTATTAAAACATGACTGTCACGGGAACTATTGGATTTTAGTGGCCTCTTGCGGCAGACATGCCTTACCGCGGATAAATGCTTGCACCACTAACCCGCAGGGGGGGGGGGCTCCATTGTTCCATATTCTGCGGTATACACTGTTCCCAACTCGTGGAGGACCATGAATCATACACGAAACCTTTCTCTCAAAAAATCAGAAATAGCAGAACGGAAACTATGAACAACTTGTAGAGTTTGGTTTTCGTTCGTCAGGAGAGGAATGTACTTTTCAATTGCCTAGTCCAAAGTAGCACCTTTTGGTAAGAGTGATTTTTCGCTAGATTTCCATGCTGACATTGTTGTTCGTGTAAATACTGGCTACAAGATACATGAAGTTATCTACGACTGCAAAGTCAATACTGTCAACAGTGACGTGGGAGTCGAGTCGCGACTGCAATGACTGTCTGTGTGATGACAGGAGTTATGACGTCTTGCTCTCACTCACTTTCAGACCCATACGTTTCACTTCTTCTTCAAGTCAGGGGAAAGCAGAATTTACGGCGTGGTTGTTGAGGCCAAAAATGTCAATAAAATCGACGTACGCCAGCAGCTGTACACTCTTATAGAAGATTGTACCTTCTCTGTTCAGCTCTGCAGCTCTTATTTTAGCAGCGTAAAGGCAGCCCATATTCGTGCTGTCGAAGGCTGATTAAAATCGACGAAAATGCCGATCCTCTTTTCACAAGTCTTTTTCAAGATTTTACGCATGCTGAATATCTGGTCAATGGTTGACTTACCAGTTCTAAAGTCACATTGATAAGGTGCAATCAGTTTGTTGGCAATGGAGTTTGGTCTTTATTGGCCACTGTACTTGGCGCATATACTGCACTTTTCGATTTCACTAGAGCAAATAAAAATCAATTTCGATTTGTATTATTTACCATCAATCTCGATTTACTGAAAATTAAGCACATTACAACATACAACACATACAAACACAAAGTTACTAAAATTCTATGCAAAGTCGTACTCACCAACTCCGATTTCCCTTTCACACACACAACGCGTTGGACCGCTAGCAGTATTTGGGATTGTGACGACTTCGTAAAAATTGTTTGTCAATATTTTTCTATGTAAATTATGAGAATAAATTACACAAAACAATTGACGGGAACGAAAAACAAGTCAATAAAAAATCACATTACAAATACAAATACAAACATACATAAATATGCAGGGAGGAGAGGTGGCGTGCCGAATGCAATGCATAAAAAATGGTAAATGAGCGATAACGGCGATTGACAACAACAAAATATCAAACATAATCACAGCGCTCGCACCCACATCCACACATATATTGAACAGCAGCAGCCACAGTGTGGCAGTGGCAAAAGCGTGAGCAATAAACGAAGGAAATTTATTTTTTGCTATGTCCGCGCCATGTTCTCATGTTCGCGGTCGAGGCAGCAAACAAAAACAAATAAAACTTAAAAAAAAAACGCCCATAAAATCAGTGTGGTGTTGCGTGTGGGATGGAGTGGAGTGTAGTGGAGAGAACGTAAAAAAGAAAAGATAAAAAATTAAAATAAAGACAATAATGACAATCACAAACCGCAAATGTCAAAATAAATTATCAATAAATTTCGGTTGGGAAAGTAATGAGTACGAAACGGAGAATTGTGGGGCAAACGAAATAACACTCATGCGTTACGCTTTGTCCAGCTTCGTCATTTACTTTGTATCATTATGTTTTCATTCCTCTATTTTTTTTTTTTGCTTTATAACTGATTTTTAACTTTACAAAGAAAATCTGGTTGGTGTGTACTGGTGGATTATTGCTATGTATGTGTGCTTATGCAGTTACATGGTGGAAAGCAATACACACATAAACTGAAAAGAGAGAGCCAAAATATGATAATATTAGAATATAAAAGCAGCTAAAACATTTATGTATTTTTTCCCGCTTTTATTGTAAACGAAAATGATTTCGAAATCTAAAGTAATTTTATTAAATTCTGAGTCGGTCTGTGGTAAGAGATCTCAAGATAAGAGTCGAGCTACTACAAGTATACTTAAGCTTGGTAACATATTATAATGGGACTCCACACGACTCCGAACTCAAGTAAATTAAACTGAAAAAACGTCAAATCATTAATTGTTGTTATTCCTCCAGATAAGGGTGGAAAATAAGAGTCTTTTTTTACATATTTTTATAGGATTATCCATTTGTGGCTTCAAAAGTACAGAGGTGTATTTGGCATCTTTCAAATTTAATTTGCAAAAACAAAAAGTGCTAAAATGGATAACGTAGTACAAAAATAGTGGTTCAAACGTAGCCAGGCTTCGTGCTTTAAGAGGAGATTATGGTGCACATAGTCGTCCAACTACTCAAGAAATTGGTAAAGAGAAGAGAAAATTCGAAGAGACTGTATCTGTTATAGATATTGTAGGGAACGTGATTCACCGCATATATCGCTATAATATTTGAAATTGTAGCTAAAGATTCGAATGTGTCTACCCTTCGACGTTTCCAAGAGCTGAAACTACATTTGGACTTACATCTATTTCCATACAATGTCCAGCTCACAAAACAACTGATGCCAGAAAATCAGCAATGGGCGACGATTTTTCGAAAAAAGTTTTCTTCAGCAACGATAAACATTTCTCTCCCGGAAGATATGGAACTGAACAAAATTTTCGCAGTCTGCTGCGGCCTTAGGTCCGAAGTTGTGATTGGACTTTACTTCTTTGAAAACGATAAAGGCGAGACTGACACTGCCAATGTCAATTCGGAGCGTTCAGGTGGTATGATAACCGGAATTTTTTCGTGTGTAATTGAAGAATACGACTAGGACCATATGTTTTCATATAACACGAGCGAATGTTGCTTTATTGCGAGAGAAATTTTCCAGCCGCGTAATCTCTTGTCTTGGTAATGTCAAATGGCAACTTGCGATTTGACACCTTTGGACTTGCTTTGCGGGGCAACGCGAAAGATCGTAGTTTATTCGGATGAACCTCTAACTCTTGAGCTCTTGTCAAACATCATTTGTCAAGTAATGGCTGAGATACCGTTCCAAATGTGCCAAAAATTGGTTGAACATTATCTAAGATGGCGAAAATTCGTGATGTGGCCATTTCAATGATGTTGTGTTTCACATATAATACCAAAAAAATTTATTTGAGATAAATTTTATTTACACTTTTCATGGTGGACTATAGAGTATTTCGAAGAAGGCGAGCTGACCACTTCAATATGTTAAGCTGCGAGCACATTCTGACATAACCTCAATCTAACCCAATATTGCCTTGTACTTTTCTGTGCTCCTTCAAGAACATGTGGACTCCTCACCGAAGGTAGGGTTTTAGTTCAACCAGGTCTTAGAGGTAGCTCAACAAAGCGAGTCATACACGAAACCATTATATACTGGTCTGTTACCTTGAGAGCTAACATCGACATTGACTGTCATCTTTAAGCGAAAAAACTGCTGTGTTTGAATATGTCGAAGTTAGATTGGAATGTTCGTCGGAAAGTTTCTTGAACGAATTCTACGCTTATTCAAACACCCAGATCGATGGCAAACAAACATTTTTTGATGACGCGAAGTATAATTGTTTTGACTTATCGAGTATTTGGGCTCATTTCTATTGGATTATTGCTAGCAATTATTCGGTTTTAGGGTCCTTATGGTTAGTCAAAGAGTTTTTTATTTTCTTAAATTCAAAGCATTCACTTCTGTGAAGACAGATTAGAGAGTCTTGGAACATGACCAATTTCTGAATTTTACCACAGCAATATTTTTTTTTTTCAATATTTAAAGATCTCGAATTTTTTTTTATATTAAAATACAAAAGTTTTGGGGAATCACAGTGTTATGTGGCCTCTGCGACGACAGGGAGGTTGATTTAATCCGTGAAACTATAACCAGCCCTCACCTGGGTGGCGAGAGTGTATATTCACATTGCAGTTGGGGCTGCTGGAAAACGGTGTCTAAGATAAGATAAAACAGATCTGGTTCTATTCACAAAGAAATACAAAATTTCCGCTTGGATCAAACCAAAGGTCGGGGAGTCAGTTTTTTAGAACTTAAATCTAACACTTAGAACCTCAAATTTGTTTTGGATGTTAAGTTATCGTAGAGACTCAAAGTAGGCTCTATATACATTCAAAACGATGTTAAGCTGCATTTGTGGTCTCTCACACGCTATCTCTTACTGGATCTTAGTTGCGATTGTTCAGACAATACTTTCCTATGGATAGGCTTGAAAGGGTTTTCAGACTTTCGATGATCAGTACCTCCGGTACACCACATGCCATTTTTAACATTCCACCAGAAAATTTAGTTGCTAAAAACAGGGCATGCTCAACTACTGCGCAGCTATATGCTTCTAGGCACCTGGCTCACGGGAACAGAAGGGTAGCTTTATTTTTCTGAACGAATAAACTATTTTCGGAAAGCTTCCGTCAGCTTAAAGTTCTTCGTATTTTTACAGATGGCTTTAAAATAAACGAAGGAGTTAGTGCTTGAATTTACCGCGCTCAACTGGAGATATAAAGTCTTTTAAATTTCCAAACTATTACAGTATTATCTAAGCCGAATTGCCAGCCAATTGGCCATTAAGACCCTAATATCACACATCCGAAGTCGGCTATGATCGCGCTATGCATAGGGGCAATACAAATTGATATAGTTCATCGAATGAAGAAGCAGCAGCTACGCTGGCTAGGTCATGTGGTCTGGATGGATGCGAATATCCCAACTTTGAAAGTTTTCGATCCAGTACCCGCCGGTGGAAGCAGAGGAAGACCTTCACTCCGTTGGAAAGACCAGGTAGAGAAGGACCTGGCTGTACTTGGTATTACCAATTGGCGCCAGAAACGATTGGCGCACTGTTGTAAATCGGCTATAATCGCGTAAGCTGGAAATTGTAAGCTAACATTTTTCGTTCTCATAAATTCATATTCTTTTATGCCCAATAACAAAAATTTAAATAAAAATACTACAAATGGTCAGATGAAGACTTTACAACAAATCACAACCACACGAAAGCATTTCCACTGGGTGTCGCGCTAAATTGAGGTGGCGTCAATAACAACAGCAACAAACAATAAGTGCACAGCGGTAACCACGATAATGACCAACGTCAGCAGCAGGAGAATTAAGAAAAGACCAACAACCGTTATGTAAGATGTAATGAAAACATTTAAAAGCGTAAAAATCACAATAAAAAATAACAGAATTGAGAAATAAAAGCAAATACAGAGAAAAAAAATAGCAATAAAAATACATTCTCGGACGGCAAAAACCCAACTTGCTTGCAGAATGAAAAAACTTAAATTTTAGATGTTGGAAGTACAAAGTTTTTCAAATGTGATGAACTAAACGCCAGAGCGGCTTGTAGAACGCATTGCGGTGGAAATATTTTCATTTAAATTAACACTAGAAATCGGTTTACTATCTTGATAAATAATGATGTAATATATATGTAGGTGGCGCTTAGTAACCGCCGAGCTTCTTTTTCGATTTGTAAAACGCACCTTGGTGTTTTTGTCTAACAAAATGGACGAGTCTAGGAGTTTTTTTCTAATCCACCTCTGAACGGCCGATGGATTTTTATGTATGTATTTATGTATTTGTATCATGTCAGAAATACACTCGGGGAGCTTGAAAATGCCCGCCGAGGGGCGACCACATTGAGTAAAATAAATTTTCAATAATTTTGGATTATGGTTGAACTATGAACCATGAACCCTGGACTGGCAGTACGTAGTCCTAACCACTCGGCTTTTGCGGCCCTCAGATATTGGCAAAACTTAAGCAGCCAGAATCAGGTGTAATTTATTTTAAGTATTTGTTATAATTGAGGCTTATTAGGATCGTAATGTGTTGGGTTACTTATAATTGACATAAATAGAAGGTTTCTTGGTGTGGCGGCCGCGGTAGCCAAGTTGTTAACATTGCGTACTGCCATTCGCAAGACTCGGGTTCAAATCCTGGTGTCATACTAATCCAAAGAGTTGTAGAAAGTTAATTTAAATAAAAAATTAAGTAAAATTTTCTAATTGCGGTCGCTGCTCGGCAGGGAATGTCAACACCACCGAGTGTATTTATGACATG